TAGGTGTTTAAATCCAATTGAAAATTGATCCCTGTTAAAAATAAGAGTGGGAATAAGAGAGGTAGATGTACAATTCAGCACATACTCCTTCAGACTTACCTCTAAGGGTAAAGCTAAAAACTTGCCATGGGACTCCAAATCTCATTAAATTGGCAGGTACCAATGCCATCTTACTAGTAAAAGTGGTCAACCAGTTTAAGTTCATAACTGATCATAAAGATAGGATTAAGTGTCAAAGGGATTACATAAATAAGACTAGTGTCTGCTAATAATAACTGAAAGAATTAAAAAGGAGAAAATAATCCAACATGAGAAGCAGGATACATACACAGCAGACTCATAGAATGGCAGATGTCCTAAATAGAACTCTGGCCTCAGAATAAGCCCTTAATGCATTCAGATCTGGCTAAAAAGCCCATGAGAGTATTTCAGGCATGGAAAGCCAAAACACTCTGGCAAAAAATGACCTAAATGAAAGATCTCTATGAGTGAGATCCCAGTGGAAAGAAGGGGCCATCAAAGAAGGAGGTACTTTTCTCTAAAGGGAGGAGAGAACTTCATTTTGATTATAGCCTTGTCTAAATAAGGTCAGAGTTTGTGAACTCAAGAGGCTTCCATAGCCTTGGCAGCTCATGACAAGAGCCTCGGGTGGTCACTGACGTCATAAATAAGAGTGTCAATTGTTAAACCAACAACAGGAGTCACTGTGTACTTGCTTCCCATGTAGGACCTCTGTCCTTAATGTGTTATACTATAGAATTAACTGTAAAACTAGTCTTCAAACAGTACTTTATACTTTGTGTTTCTGTGTGGGTAAAAACTGTTGAAATCTCTATTTAGTACAGAGTTGATCTTCTGTATATAATTAAAAATGAATCTTAATGAAGAATGGGATGGGAGAGGGAGTAGGAGATGGGATGGTTTGTGGGTGGGAGAGTGGTTATGGGGGGAAGAATTGCTATAATCCCAAAGTTGTACTTTCGAAATTTATATTTATTAAATAAAAGTTTTCTATAAAAAAAAAGAAAAGAAAAGCAATGATGATGGGTCAGGTGGCTGGGTCCCTACCCACATGGGGTACTGACCTAGATGGAGTTCTAGGTTTCTGTTCCTGCTTGGTCCAGCAGCCCCAGCCATTGTGAGCAACTGGGGAGCAAAACAACAAAACTCTGTCTCCCTGACACTCATATAAATAAATAAATAAATAAATAAATAAATAAAATTTAAAAGTACATTTAAAAAATTATACTCCAGCTAATCTGGGTAAAGTGGAATCCTTGTACTAACTAGGCTGAGATGGCCAGAAAATTCCACTGTATGCTATCAGATGGAAGAAATGAAATTTTAATTTCTAGTATTACAAAAACAATGAAATTTATAAAATGGCATAGCAGGTTAAGCCTGAATTCTTTATATTGCAATGCCAGCATCCCATATGGAAGCTAGTTGGAGACCTGACTGCTCTACTTCCAATCCAGCTCCCTGCTAATGCACCTCAGAAAGCAGCAGAGGATGGCCCAAGTGCTTGGGCCCCTGTACCCATGTGGGAGACCTAGAAGTTGTTCCTGGCTCCTGGCTTCAGCCTGGCCCAGCTCCAGCCTTTGTGACCATTTGTTGGGTGAACCAGCAGATGTAAGTTGTCTCTCTCTCTCCCCCCCCCCCCCCGCCACCTCCTTTCACTGTGACTCTGCTTTCAAAATAAATTTAAAAAGATCAAGAACTGAAAATCATGGAAAGAAACTGAACTTGGTGAATAAGGGGCACAGCTCCCATGATTCATAGAATTGTTCCTTAATGTGCTAATGACTACCCATCTTAAACACTGCATGTTTATTCTAGGTTCCCACCCATATCCTAGAATATCTTTTAGAATTAACACGCTAGGAGTCTTTGTGCTTTAAAAACCCATACCGTAATGAGAAATGTAAAAATCCAATTTATATTTTCAAAATTAAAAATAAGATTTTTGTTTAAAAGCAAAAAAAATCCCTGTTTTCCAACATACATGGGCAAAGTGCACAGTAACAAAGAGCTGCAAACAAGAGGAGGAGCCTAATGTTCCTTGCAAAAGGTAGAGAACTCAGCAGGCTCTTCCCAAACCTCAAAGAAGAAAATCATGTCTGCTTCTTGATACTGTGTAAAAAGGGCTCCCTCTCAGCAGTATGCTGGGGAAAAGGCGAGAACGCAGCGGGAGGACAAAGGGCGTCTCTCCGCTCAGTCTGTATTCTCAGAGGGAGAAGTAACTCCTTTATCACTGTAAATCCCTAAACTGGGCCCTTCCCAGACCCTGCGCCTTTAACTGGGGAGATGGCGTCCTTCCTCTGGCCAAATTCCTAGCACCCTTCTGGAGAGGGAATCCATGGAAATGTATCAAGCTGCGCTCAGCAGCAGGGTTGGGGCAATGCTGTGTGCTTCACTACCACCGCTAATTTAGGTAAACACTGCACAAAGAAGTATCATCAACAATAACACAACAGAATCAAATAGCACGTCTAAGTAATCACCAGGAGTTGCTAAAATTTAGACTGCATGGGGCAGAGAGCAACGAGCAAATACCGTCAGTATAAAAGAGGTCTTTCAGAATGAGATAAAGTGTTTCTACGTGCAGAGGAAAAGAGACCATATTTTAAGAAGGTTAGGGAATTTCTGATATGTCATGGCCTTTCCATGCAAACCACCGCACACAGCTTCTTTTCAGCCACAACAGGAAACCCAGCCAGAGGACTGGCTAAAAGGACTCAACGCTTGGCTACTCTGCTGTAGCCTCATGGTCTTGGCTCATTTGAATAGTATTTTAGGAATGTTTTGTCAACGTGTACAATGATTATTCACTTCTACTATGTCCTTGCCTTCACCATGATGGTTATGATCATAGTTACAATTTATTTTACAGGTAAAACATTTACAACACTCAATGATGAGTTCAACATGTTAAAACGCATGTATTTATTTATCCACATTTCTTTAAAAACACAAGACTAACTTTAACAGCTGTCGCACATAGCAACACAAGAACAAAAGATTTTTCACATGCATAATCTAGCCATTTAATGAAAATTCACAAACCTGAATCTCAAAACAAGTCCAAAATAGAAATGAGGAGTACCAGATGCCCAACAGAATCAGATATATGGTATATTGTTCAGCTGCCACAAAGAAAGAAAACAACACAGTGCAGCAAACTGGGACAGGGAGACAGAACAGAAACTAACAGACTTCTCTTGGACCACTGCAGGGACAACTACAACTCTCAGCTAAGTTTTCTGGCCTAAGCAAATCCAACAAAAATGCCCCACACTCCCTCAGAATTTCTATCCCTTCCTCTTCATAAAGGTTCTTTACCCTGAATCCCAATCCCAACAGTTCAAACCAAACCACAATGTGGTAATCTGATCAAAGAGACTGCTTTTCCCTAAGGCTTAGGCTCAACTACCAGAGTCAAGGTGAAAAGAAATCCCAGACAGAGTCCACAGATTACACAAGACTGCATCAGGCAACAGACAGTTCTGGATCATGGAGAAGAATTGGGTAGACCCGGGACTCTGCTTCACCACCTTCAGAAGTCCCTGTCCTCCACCATCACTTCACCTGTCCTCAAACGGGGGAGGCATCAGGCAGGGTCCAGGTGATGTGTGGTCTGAGTGGCACATGGATAAAGAGGACTTATAATATCTCAGTCCCTGAAAGAATTGAAAACACTGGAATAAGTCAGAAGTGATACAATGAAGTTGGGTTTTATTTAAGCAACTAACAAGCATTAGACATTGCAATGCAGGTCCTGTGAGAAGGAATAACTACTACTGCTGTGTGGTTCAACTGAAGGGAGCTTACCAACTCGATTAGGACAATAAACTCTGAAAAAGCAAAAATTCAAATTGAGGAGCTGAAGTATGGTACACATACAGTTTTACTACAGATGCTAAAAAACAAACACTATAAGCACTGAAGTAGCAGAGGAGCTTCAGATAAAGAAACTTCAGCTCTGTGGGGCAGCTATGACTTCCACACCCCAGAAAGGAAGCCACGGGCTCTTCAGAGTAGCAGTTAGAGGTTGTGCGTAATCGAATGCTCGGCTGTGAAGTCACACAAGCGCGGGCGAGTTCCACCACCACTTAATGGCTTTGTGCCCTGAGACTTGTCTCCTAAGCTCA